GTTCTGAAGGGGTTAAGCTGCCACAGTAGGGTGGACAGGACACTGATGAACATCTGGGACGGTGGGATTTGATTGATGGCCTCTTGACATCATCAATCCTGCTGTGTCTTGACTTGGATTTAGGGGTCTTGCTTTAATTAAGATCGTATGTCTGGTTATAGTGCGACAGACACTCTTCAGTTTACTACAGTATAGCCAAGCTATATTAGGCTACACAGAACTAATCTTACCAGTGTAAATGTATGTTTTATGTTAATGTGTTGTAACAACTTCCGATATAACTGAAACAATGTGTCTTATTCCAACATCAGATGCTGTCTGTGTTTACTGCTCTTTCACAATGGAGGCTGCCGGGATTGGCTTCATTTTGCATCAGTTAATTGTGTTCGTTGTTGACCCGGGCTGCCACCCAGGCTGGCACCCAGGCTGCCACGCGGGCATGTGCCAGCTGCCCTGTTAAAAACCCCTGGGTCTAAATTGGCTCAAAACAAATAGGCCATTACATTATGCCGTTATGGTTTTACAGTATTCTCTCTTCTGCTTTGGCCTTGTCTAGCGCTGTTACAATTGGGATACATCTGACCTGCTAATTAGAAGATCTCTGATCTGAGTGGGGCGTTATAATGCCTGAGATCACCTTTCAAGTCAAGTGTTTATGATTGGAAACGAATGTGGTGTGTTTCAGGATGATACTCTGGGTTTTCCTATTGACAACACTGCTGAAATACCCAGATTAATGTGCAATTAAACAAGGTCACGCCTCCCCACTTGTATCCTGTACTTGATTGGCCTTATCCCAGTGTACCCCAGGCTAATATAATGACTCTGGGTGGAACGCTAATTATTTAGCTCTTTGAGATGTTATAAATGTATTGCAGTCTTATTTATGCATGTCATCGCCAAAACATTTCTTCTGAGATTTTTAACTTTTGGATCATTAACTCTTAATTAAAATAAGAAAACACTTATCTGTTTTCACTGCCCTTTTTTTGCCGTTGGGTAGCAACACGTTTTATGGCCCAGCTGCTATCCTATCGCAAACATATTCCATTTTCCAACATAAATGACACAACCTAGGGCAGTAAAATCTATCTTTACTGAACAATTGTAGTTCAAAAGTGGCCCAGTGAGAAATCATTTCAAGAGCTCCCTCTATACTGGGTAAAGGGTTATAAACGGATGACACGTTTATATACGTCTTTAATAAATGGAGCTCTGCTACTGCAGCTAGTGCCGTGAGGTGCTACATGACATATGGCTGCTCCCCTATGGGCTCCTGTTGACCCAATATGCCCAGGCTTAGCAGTTAGCAGCTCCATGCAAAAAACTATCTTCCCGATTTAATGTCGTCATGGAAAGCCTGACTTCAATTCAAGGCAAGAAAACACAATCCCACTCTGAAACCATGACATTCACCTTGACAAGTAGGGACAGACGGTTAATCTACATCAAAGAAATGCTTTCAGTTAGAGCGAGTGTGGCTGGTACCACCTGAGGCTGAGAGAAGTCCCTGCTGATTCCAGATGTCCCATATCTCTCCCTCCCTCCCTCGCTCCCTCGCTCTCTCGCTCCCTCGCTCTCTCGCTCTCTCGCTCTCTCGCTCTCTCGCTCTCTCGCTCTCGCTCTCTCTCTCGCGCTCTCTCTCGCGCTCTCTCTCGCGCTCTCTCTCGCGCTCTCTCTCGCGCTCTCTCTCGCGCTCTCTCTCGCGCTCTCTCTCGCGCTCTCTCTCGCGCTCTCTCTCGCGCTCTCTCTCGCGCTCTCTCTCGCGCTCTCTCTCGCGCTCTCTCTCGCTCTCTCTCGCGCTCTCTCTCGCGCTCTCTCTCGCGCTCTCTCTCGCGCTCTCTCTCGCGCTCTCTCTCGCGCTCTCTCTCGCGCTCTCTCTCGCGCTCTCTCTCGCTCTCTCTCGCGCTCTCTCTCGCGCTCTCTCTCGCGCTCTCTCTCGCGCTCTCTCTCGCGCTCTCTCTCGCTCTCTCGCTCGCTCTCTCGCTCTCTCTCGCGCTCTCGCTCGCTCGCTCTCTCGCGCTCTCGCTCGCTCTCTCGCTCGCTCTCTCGCTCGCTCTCTCGCTCGCTCTCTCGCTCGCTCTCTCGCTCGCTCTCTCTCGCGCTCTCTCGCTCTCTCGCTCTCTCGCTCTCTCGCTCTCTCGCTCTCTCGCTCTCTCGCTCTCTCGCTCTCTCGCTCTCTCGCTCTCTCGCTCTCTCGCTCTCTCTCTCTCGCTCTCTCTCTCTGCAGGCTCTACATACAGTGTCCTCTCCACCATGCCCTCGGACTCAGAGAGTAGCAGCTCTCTCAGCAGTGTGGGTAAGTATGTGGCCGAACACACTGTCACCGTGTCGTCTGTGTGTGTGTTGTGGACTCGTCACCATCCAGTTCAGACTCTACCTAGTAGTGCCCAGTCCAGGGTCCCCCCCACTGGTCAAGTGAGACGTTAGTGTTCAGTGAGATGTGTCCGTGTTCCTGTTTTGACCACACACGTAGTTCCACTGGACCCAGGCCATCCTCTCTTCATTTCCTCCCTCCCTCCACCTTCAGTTCACTGTGCTACACTACCTCTTTAACACGCACACTCGCTCACTCTCACTGGTTGCCAGACTTTGACAGGGCTCCCAATGACTCAGCTCGCAGCCTGGGGTTACATAAACCCTTACGGGCCCAAGCTGCTGCCAGGGATGGCACATAATCCACCCAGTTCCTGCTTGCCTCTGCCCGTCTGTCTTTAGACCCGGCTCCCGTTCTGTTTCTGTTCTGGGAGGAGTGGGAGCGATGGGAAGATGGCTGTGTTCAGGGTGGGCTACTGCCTGTCTCTCTGTCAGGCTGCTTCTCCCGTTCTGTGAAGAGGGGGAAACAGAGGGATAAAAGGGGAGAGAGGCTGTCTGCTGTGGATGGAGGCTGGCTTAGAGGGAGGATTTAGGATATCTCAGGCATGTTTAGGAGTTATTTCACCTGTGGTGGTCACAACAGAGACCCCTATTACCGTGGTGTCGCTTATAAGAATCAGTATTATCATCTGTTGGTGATGGCAACTGGAGGAAATAAAATGGACTGTGAGAACGTGTAATTATTAATTTAAATGGGATATTTATATTAACTATTTAAAAATACATGCATTGCTGTACTATAATAATCATAATAAGTAGCTAGATACTCTGGTCTGCTTTTAGCCAGACAGAACAAAAACAACCTTTTTATCACATTTCTTAATATGCTGCTTGTCACTTTCCTCTGAGATTACCAGTGTTAGTTGCTATCATGTGGTTATCCGTTTATTTTTGGAAAATGTGGAACAGATTGTAGTGGAAAGATTAACAGTCATTCTGTAGTGTTTAGTAGAAGGATTAAGTGCATTTATGCTGTTGTTTGTCAACTGTTTGTCTGTTTTTTTAACTTTAAGTCTATTTAACACATTTTGATGAAGATTTTTGTGTATTTTGGGTGCCGCTGTCTGGGGGCCGCTGTCTGGGGGCCGCTGTCTGGGGGACGCTGTCTGGGGGACGCTGTAGGAGATTGTGTAGTTGTGTAGTCAAACACCCTAGCCCCTCCCCGTCTGTGACATTTGACCCTTGGTGGCATGCTAACTGTTGTAGGTTCGCCCCCCGGTACCGGTAACGGTTCAGCTTCTTCCCCGCCCCCCCCACTGAATGACAACCGGCCAGCTGGCGACAACCTGGACACCATCCTGTTCCAGCTACGTCAGGTGACCCGGGAGAGAGATGAGCTCCGTAAGCGTCTGGCCCTGGCCTCCCCTGGCACCACCTTCGACGACTGCAGGTGTGTACATCACATTGGAACGTTTATTGCACAGTTGGTGTCAAATATAACAACAGGACAGTGGTAAACATGTCATCCTCTTTGAATCATACACCACAGATGTCCTGTCTTTGTTGTGATGGTGTGAGGAAATTTGAAATAATTATAAAAAAGACAGACCCATTATGATTAGTTTAATTAGGCCGCTTATGTACTGATGCTATTTAATCAGAGTGCCTGTTGCTAGCCGTTCCTGAACAGCTCTGCTCTGGGTGGACACTGATGGTCTGTCCTTGCTAATTCAACCATGTTCCTGTGGTCCTGAAGTGGTAATGTGTTCATCTTTTCATTTTCACGTCTCTCCTAAGGCCAAATTCTAAAGCCAGCCACGACTATGAGCGTCTGAAGAGTCAGTGTATGAGGGCCATGGCAGACCTGCAGTCTCTACAGAACCAGCACACCAAGACCCTGAAGAGGTGTGAAGAGGCTGTCAAGGAGGCTGACTTTTACCAGTGAGTGCCGTCATAATCATCACTAGCTCACTGATTGGCTGACTTGATGGGGGGCGGGTCAGAACGACATGCTGTCAGGGGCTGTCACGACTGGTTTGAGGCTTATTGCAATTATTTTTATTACGTTGGTCTTTTTCCCCATGCAAATTATGTCAGGTTTCATCAGTTAGGATTTCTAGCTCAGGGGTGCAGAAGACTGTTTCACAGCTCTGCGGAAAGTAATGGGCACTGACTAGAAGTCGTTTACTCCTTAATAAAATAAACTGCCTTGTTTAATGTTAGGTGTGATGTGGACATGTACTGATGATGGACCACACAGCCTTGTCTAATGTCAGATACAGTGAGTAGAGAAACAGGATGTTCCTGACATAGACAAGGGTGTTACGTCCATCAGTACATGTTCAGCCACACACCTGACATTACAGAAGGCGGTGTTGTCTTATGTAATGACAGAAGTGTGTTGTTCCTCTAATTGAAGGACTGTGTTGGTCCTAATGGTCTGTTTTTATTCAAATGTAATGAGGATTGGGAGCAACGTGGCTTTGTCTTTGTCGTACATACATTGTACATTTCTCCAGAGGAGATGTTAACTGTATGACGTCCCTTATTGTAATTCTAATCACGGCCTCTGGGTTGTTTTCCTACCAGTGTCTTTATTTTTATTTTAAGAACACATTTTGATTTACAGCAACAACCTGAAGCGGAATGTTCTGGGGATAAGATTTAACTTTGTCGCTCAGGGACAAAATGACATGGGGGATTAGAACCAGGGACCTGTATGTCACTAGCTAGATGCCCTAACCACTAGGCCACCTTACTGCCCCAGCTGTGTGTGGTTGTGGGGGAGGGGGTGGTACATTATAAGTGAGGGGGAGTGCCCCCCCCCACCACAAGCGCTACAGAGAGAAGGTAGCTGGTCTGAAGCGCCCCCCCCTGTTTTTCTCCAGTATGCTCCACAGCCGTGTGTTGGGAGACCAGTCTCAGCTGAAGGAGGAGCTGGACTTGCTGAGGAGGGACAACACGCAGCTGGTCCGGGAGCACAACCACTTGAAGCAGAGCTGTGAGGAACTTGGCAGGCTCCACAGTGAGGTCCAGAAGGAGGTAGCCGACATGAGGCTGCAGCAGCAGGAGGTACACACACACTCAGGGGCACACAAACTGCTGTAAGCTGCACACCATGCACTACTGTAAAGGTCCCTGATTGAGTTGAGGGTCATTGGCACTTGTAAAGGGCACGTGGTCAGTATGTGGGCACTGTCCTTGGGGACCTACTCAGCCTGCTGTGTTTACGGATCTGCCGCGTCAGGAGAGCTGTTTGAGCTGTTTAAACTGAGCAGTAAGGCAGACCAGGTCTCCCTGTAAATGACACACTCACAGGCTGAACGCCACAGGCTTCAGCAAACCTGTAATCCAAACGCACTCAACGCCTGAAAACGGCAGGGGGGTCATTGTGTTTTAATGATGAAGAGGGGATTTCTACAAGCCTGTGTAACCTGGTGTTTAATAGCATTTGCTGCTCACTGTTGCCCTCTGCTGTCCAATGACTCAATGCTCCTGGTCTCGTCCTGTGGTTTAAACGGTTTTGGAAACTGTATAGCGTGTGTTGTAGTGTAGACGAGTAGCAGCTCAAGTCCATACCATTTGCTCCTTAACAGTGCATATAAATATATGTATCAACTGTAATTATCTTGATATTTCTATATATCAATTCATATGGAGACTGCAGCTGATTGCCTGCGGTACTGGCCTGGTTGTCAGGCAGTTGTCTTTCCACTCCTTGTTCTGTGCTATGATGAACAGTCTGGAAATTTCCATTAGTTAAATGATCTCGTCCCCCTCCAGGTGATGAGAGAGAATGGCTCTTCGGAGGTTCTTAACAAACTGTACGACACGGCCATGGACAAGCTGGAGGGGGTGAGGAAGGAATATGATTTGCTTAGCAAACGCTACAGCGAGAAGGTAGCTAATCACAACACAGACCTGAGCAGGCTGGAGCAGACTGAAGAAGAGAACCGACGATTACAGAAACAGATGGACACACTGCTGAAACAACGAGACACAGCCATACACTACCAACAACAGTGCTCTACCTCCATGAGAAGGTACACACACAGTCACACACACACACACACACACACACTTCTACCAATTTTATACACTGCTGAAACAACGAGACACAGCCACACACTACCAACAACAGTGCTCTACGTCCATAAAAAGACACAGACACACATTTCTACCCACCTAACACACTGCGACTCTCCCTAGGTTTGACTCAGTACAACAGGAACTGAACAAGTCATCAGCACTGAACAAGGAGCTTCAGCGGGAGATGGAGCGTCTGCAGTCAGAAGTGACTCGATTTAAGAACTTTCAGCTGAAGGCCGTAAAAGACTGTGAGAAGTACAAGGAGGAGAGAGACTCTGTGTTCAACGAGTACAGACTCATAATGAGTGAGAGAGACCAGGTAAGAGAATGACAGATCCCACCGACGGATGATGTTATGTATACTGTCTGATATCAGCTAATGTCTTTCAGCTAATTGCAGCGTTCATGGCTCATACTGTCCAGTTTATTATCTATTGAGAGTAATATAGAGTAACCGTTTAACCAGGTAATCAAGGAGCTGGACAAACTGCAGACTGAGCTGGAGTCTGCTGAAGCACGCCTTAAAAACACCTCGTCTGAAAGGATGGTGGCCAGTGAGGAGATGGAGGCTCTACGTCAGGTACACGTCCGTCATGTTATGAACCAGATTAGTTACCCTTCGAGGTTAGCAATTGTTTAATGATGCTGTGTCAACTTGTTCATTGTCAACCGAATTTGTTTCCTATTGAATGAAAAGCACCGTATCTTAGAGGATGCTGAGCGGTTAAACTCAGAGAGCTGCCCTAATTATTCAGCCAGATGTTTGCACTGCTATGACACATTTGGGTTGTTTTCAGGAGCTGAACTCGTCCCTGGTGGACCGGGACAGAGCTATCTGTGAGAGAAACGAGCTGTTGGAGAAGTACTGCCATGAGGTGAAGGACAAGGCCGAGACCCAGAAGGAGCTGAGCCAGGCCTGTAAAGACATCGAGACGGTCCGGGAGGAGAGAGACGTGGCCCGCAAGGAGAGGACTGAAGCCATCATACAGAGAGACCAGCTTCTGAGAGAGTACTATCAGGCTAGACAGGTAACACTCGCAGCAGCATGGACTAAGTGCTCCTGTTTCGAAACAGCATTGTCATAATATGAAATAATACCATCTACCGAGATATCAGAACTATCACACCAAAGGTTAGTCACATGAGAATGAGCTTAGATGAGCCATTAAACTGCCGACTGTAGCAGTTTGTCAGTGGAATAACAATTGAACAGATTATTAAGCTTATTCTGCCGTTTCTGACACCTCCCTGTTCAGACCACTAGATGGCACTCACACAGCAGTTGAAACACAGCAGGAATCGGGATGCTTAAAATGGGGCACTGTGTTGAATCCTGCCTCTAACCAATCACATGACTTATCTCTTCTTCGTCTTCTCCAACCAAACGAAACCTGAATAGGATTGGCAAGTTCCGGGTGGCTTAGGGTGGCAAGGATAGTGCTGTGAGTGTGGACAGTCTATATAACCAGATTTCAAATCAATGCAATCTGATATATGGACCAGCAAGAACTTTACGTTTAAATGGGGAATATCTGAGGCGCTTTGATGAATTCTGTAGAAAAACATTATTTTCAATATTAGCTTAAAACATTTCAAACGTCACTGTAGACGTTCAGGGTTATTTTCCTTGTATGTATGCTAGCAGTACAATAAACATCTTACATATCGGCCCTTTAAAATCTGTGATACTGATGTGTTTGTTGACATGCATCTATACATGTACTGTCTGTGTTTGGCTTGTGACAGCAGGACATTTAGACAACTTAATGCACTGCGCAGGATGACTATAGGTGTCTGTTAACTTTCCCAGGTTTAGTTCTTTAGAGGTCAGCTGTCTCTAGACCTCAGTTGGAGACATACATTTACTTCTCATGTACACAAAATGACTGACCTGTGTGTCTGCATGTTTCTGTGTCTTTCTGCATGTCTTTCTTTGTGTGTCTCCTGTGTGTCTCCTGTGTGTCTCTGTGCTCACCCGTCAATGTGTCTGACAGAAACAAGATTCTGCCACCCTGGACATGGAGCGGGCCAACAAGGAGATAGATGTGTTGAGGAAGCAGTGTGAGGCCATGTCTCAGGAGCTGAAGGAGGCCACACAGGAGGCGGAGGTGGCCAAGTGTCGACGCGACTGGGCCTTCCAGGAGAGAGACAAGATAGTGGCAGAGAGAGAGAGTATACGGTGAGGAAGAGGTGTCAGATGCTGTAACATGTTTCGGCTACAGCACTGGCTGACGGGGGTTTCTTCAACCAATAGGAATTTGCCTTCAACTTGCTATGCAATGATCAGGCATGAAAATCACTCACCTTTCGGCGAAATTCGCCGTTTTGAAACCAGAATAGGTGACTTGCGTAAATCGTGTAGATTCGATGAGAAAATCTTTGTGTGTGTGTGTGTGGGGGGGGGGTTAGGTACCAGAGATTTAGTGAACAACGAACAGGTGCGCGAGTGCATGAAAATATTAGCGCAAAGGGCCTTGCATCACCAGTTTCCTTCTCTGGGAAGGTAGGGGAATACCGTTACCTGATTGGTTTACAAGCAGTTCGCTTCGCTCGTGCTGACAAGAGCGCGCACATCAAATTCAGAAGCTGAAAAAGCCCGCCTGGCCTCTGCGATTTAATCGACTGAATTTGGTGAGTGATGGTTTCAATAGTAACTCAGAAGCTCTGTTGCGATAGACTTAGTTAACGTTATATACAGGTTGATGAATTGAGTCATTATACACAGCAGGAGAGAACGCAATGTTAACCAGCTAAAGATCTGCAGGGCTTGAATTTCGGTGCGGCATTGCGGGGATTGCGCATAATTTAAACCATTCCCGCAATGTTAGTTTTTATAGTGCGAGAAAATCCCGAACAAATATATTTGCTTCATCTCAGCCCGAGGTAAATTTGGTTGGATATTCCATATTGGATATTCAACGGATATTCGGAGGCCGAGATCAGGTCCGGTTTCCCCGCACTCAGCCACACTACACCCCGTGATTGACCGACAGAAACCTCTGTGTGCTTATAGTTAGGGACTGTCAATAAAGTCCAAGTCTTAAAGTTATGAATTCAGTAGCTGTTTAACCAGTTGGCCTTGAAACTTCAAACCACTTTCAGATTGTTTTATAGAGGACACCCACATTTTGCACTGCTTTGGTTTTTTTATGGAAATGGTGTAAGAGATGTTTAATAAACATAAAAAAGGTAAAAACCTTTTTTTTTTGTGAAATCACTTGGAAACCTCAATTTACTTTATATTGTCTACAAAGGTCTTTCACATGTGTACTATTTGTAATTTTCGTCCGGGGGAGCATGCCCCCGGACCCCCCTATAGGGGTAATATACTTCTCACCTTTTTCACCCCTGACCCGTTTTCATGCCTGAATGATATCTGTGGATTACATATTTGGGCCTAAGTTACTGAGTGAAAATCTAAAACACATTTTGGTTGATCACCAGCTGTGAATATAACACTGCTAGAAGTATGACTCTACCAGTAAATGTTTTATTTTTGTACTTGCTTGTTACCCAATTGTCCGAGTCACACCATATCTAAGATGCCTGTCTTTTAAAAAAGTATTATTAACCTCAAAATATTTAAAGAAAACTACACAAAGCTTAAAATCAACTCTCTTTAAACTGTGTTCTCAAGTGGCTTGTAAAAATGAGGCAATGAGAGGTGATTC